ACAATACGTAGGAAGATTTGATTATTGTTCTTTCGTAAGTAAGGTTTAGAGACTACCAGTACATCTCATATGATATCTAATTAATTATACGATTGCAAATGGAGAGCTTGATTTGAGATTAACACTATCTAAATTAAGATCTTGACGAAGCATATACGGTTCCGAAGCTGGATTTAATTTTAAACTTTTTATTTAAAAAGATTAAAAGGCATAATTAACGTATGGCAAAAAATAGCAAATCTTACCAATGACTAACGTGATATAGAATACTTTAACGAGTTTTAGTATTCCTGTTAAAAAAGTAAGACTATGATCGTAATCGATCTGAAATGGATACTATTAGTTCTAAAAATAAGTAATTATTCCGTTTTGGTTTTATCTTTCCTTATTTTAATCCATAATTTTCATTGTTTCATAAAACGACTATAAAATGATTAAGCTTGCAGGACTAGTAGCATCGGGACCTCAGGCGAAACAAGAACATATAAGCTCACCGGCCGCTAGAAGACTTTGTGAACAGCATCCTGATGAAATTAAGCTATCATCACCACCTTTGAAGCAAGCTACTTCTACTTCTCTCAAAGCAGCATCATCAATCGACCTTTCGCCGAAATTCACACTGCTACCCTCATTGATACTATCAAATGCAGCTGCCGTGAAATCCAGAGAAACACTAACAAGTGACGAGACAGGAAATATCGCTGAAGTCTGTGACCAGAAGCCAACCGACCACATGAAAAACTTTAGTTCAGATCGAATAGAGCCCAGTTTAAGCGGAACTCGGGAAGGACTAGATGATTTTCGAGAACATGCCCAAAAGCAAGTACTGGCAACGACCTGCTCTGAAAGCCTTATCTCACCTTGTTCTTCTGATGTTGAAGTAGCAAAACCTCGGAGCTCCTTTAATAGCCTGATTAATCCCGCTAACCAGGAGGCAAACCATGTTGCTATACCCCTTTACCCTAGCGTTGACAATCATGTGCCGTCTATTCCCTCCCTGCAAGGCCAAAGAGAGAATCACAAAGAGCGAACTGGAACGGATTATAAGGATCTTGTGAATCCTTTAGCTACACGACAATTCTGCGGTCACCCGGCTATTTCAGGACAAGAGTTGTGCTATTTGTGCCACCAGCGCAGGCGTTACAACGTTTATATTAATTGCTCAGAGGAGAACCGCAGGAGAGCCGCAGAGGAGGCTGAGTTGCTGCTCGAATATCAGCGTGATAAGACCTCCTTGGCAGCAACACGCGAAAAGGTATACATTATTGTGGATCGGGTTTCTCCATTTCTCCATTTCTCCAATTGTTCGTCCAGAATACCTTAAGAGAATTATCGATATCATATACATACTAGACTAGATTAGGCTACACTATGCCATATACTAAGTTATAACATCTAAACACTATACACTGGTAAACATTTGTTTTAAACAATAAACTAACAAACTATAACAGAGGATATCTTGGAGTTTTTAAATATCTTGAAATATAAGCATTTGAGAAACTTAAAGGAGAGTATATAAGTGGTATGAACTCATTTTGGCAACTTGGTCGTGGTATCAGAGAGACTTAATTTGACGCACCTTGTCGGAAGTCCTCTGCTATATTAGTTATCATAAATCCCAGTATCGGGCCGTGGATTTGGTACATTCCCATACATTTCGCCGGCATCGTAGTCAGTATCGCCACTTCTATACATCGAAAGGAGACTGCAGCCGTAGCAAAGGCCACACCATCTTGTTCTTCATATCTTTGATTGAAGGAGAGCAATTTGAGGCAAGCTGATTTTAATCCACTCCATGTCCGAAGCAGATTTGGGTATTAAGTATGCTCTTTCTGAGTGAAGAGTGTTAGCTACTATGAACTTGCTGATCATTCTGAGCCTCTGTTGAATCTTACCCAGGACTTGTTGAATTTTCTTTCCAATGAAAATGTGTTATGAAGAGATCCGTAGGTCGATCTCATCAGAGTATGACCGTAGGTTCTCCTTGATTTTCTGTCGTTTGGGTCCACTGGAACGCTTAGGTTTGTGTACTCTAGCCGAAAAGGGCCTAGTTACTAAAATGCATATTTGCAGAAGTGGGTTGACCTCGTTGTCGCAACTTGGTCTTGTTTTCAGGGAGACCATGTAGAACGCACCT